TAAAGCAGTTAAAATTTAGCACAATTTGCTGGTAGTGAAAATCAGTATGATTTACTAATAAATCTGCAGACACCAGTCCCACTGATGCTTACCAATATGACAGTGTTTCCGTAGCCAGAACGGATAAGCAAAACTTCCCAGATTATATTCTACACAAGGGTTTTATGGGAAAAATTCAGCTCTGAGAATCATGTAAAGGAATAAAGGCTGGTCTCTGAGAGGGAACAATCTAGCTGAAACAACTGTAACTACTAGAGTGAGAACTTTTTACTTTTGTAAAAGTTGTTGTTGTATTTTTCTTAGTGAGATTCTAGCAATGGAAAATGAGTAAAATACCTTTTATCCAGTACTAGCTATCCAAGGAGAAGAACTGTTCTTGATTTACCTATTTGAGAATTAAGGTTTCAGCCAGCTTCCAGGAGAAGTTAACTGCTAATAACCATAAGTTTTCGTGTGAAGGAATAACACATTTGGTCAGCTTGAAAATAAGCTTAGTCCTGTGAGACAGTTCCTGTAATCTACAGTAACTGGCTCTTTATCAATACCTACCTCCAGCTGTCTACAGCAAAAATCCTGAAATGATCCTGCCAGGTATCACTATACAGCATACAATACTGGAACTAATCCTAAAAATATATTTCATTGCAGTGCAATGTGCTTTAAATCGCCCAGCCTTTTTTGCAGAAAGACTTTACTATTCGATGAAAGGAGCTGGCACAGATGATTCTACCCTCATCAGAATTATAGTCAGTCGCAGTGAGGTAAGAAACTTTCTCTGTAAAATGTCGTCACATGTAGCAGAAAGCCATCTACCCCAAACCAGCTTTTCACTTAGTCCTTCTTTTACAGCTGTAGAAATCATGTATTGCAATGAAGCTTTTATGGGGTTCAGATTTAGATGAAAGTGTTAAATGTGTTTTAAAGCCAGCTTTTATATAGTAGTTTAATTACCTCTGGCTAGATAGTAGTACTGCTTGTCTTCCTTCTTAACTGTAGTTGCCTGTCCATGTAGCAGATAAGCACCTCAAGTTCAGAGGCTCAGCTGAGTTAGGATACTACAGTCCTAACAAAGCGAGGAGCAACTGCTAGACTCCCCACTTTGGGAGTGGCTCCTCTGTCCTTAGAGGGACCAGCTGCCTTGTGAGACCTGCAGCATTAATGGATTGCATATTTCACCCTTGGCGTGTCTTCTCTAGTTCGTGAGGGAGATGTGGGGCAACAGTCTAGGAGTTAAAATCATATACTGTGTTTAAGTTTTGTGCCTTTTTTTTTTTCTTTGCATAGATTGACCTTGTGCAAATTAAACAGATGTTCACACAAATGTATCAGAAGACTTTGGCTACAATGATAGCAAGTGATACAAGCGGTGATTACAGGCGTTTGCTGCTGGCAATTGTTGGTCAATAGAAGAGGATTATCTTTTTTTGTTTTCTTTTTTAAAACTAACTGAAGGACATGTAACATGCTTTATGCAGACACTGGCTATCCTTGTGTGTAAAAGAATAATTTTAAACTTTGTATAATCAAATATGCCTTCTTGATGATTCAGTGGGCTTGTTGCACTTACAATTGCCTTAATTTACAGCACATAATATTCTTTATTGTATAATAAAAGATGTATCTTGTCTATTAGCCCGTAAGCCTTAGTCCTTTTGACCCAGACAAAACTACCTCCCCTATGCCAGACTCCTGCATGATAAACACTCTCTTAGCTGAATCTCCAGCACTCTACAAGTTTCTTGAGATACCTAAACTTAACTGCTGAGCTAACCATGGATGACAAAAAAAGCCTGAGGCTATGGTGTAAAGCATTTTACACCCCCTTAATGTCTTTCCATCATAATGTTGAAAAACATGCAAGTGCTCAGTTTAAGTCACATTACAGTGACAGTTCAAGTCCTTGGCACAATCTGACTGTAACCCACCACTTAATTTCTTTAGTTAGTCAGCACTAGTGGTTAGTTACCATCATGCTGAAGGCAGCAATGGGAAGTTGTCATCTCGGGTCTAATTTTGAAGTATCTCCTTGTAAAGAGGTGGGTTATACAGCAAATGACTGAGCAATGAAAAAAGCCAGTATCTAAATGCTAACACTACGGAATATGTGTAAATCCGAACTGAAAGCGACTGTGACCTAGACAATAATGTGGATGTTTTCAAAGGATTTAAAAAGAACAGCTTTGAATAGCACATTTGGTTTTTTAGAAAGCCACAGTGAATCTGTCCCCAGCCATAAATGTAACAGAAGCTTCCAGTCCAGCAACTAGCAATGTGTTTCCTAACATTTCCAAGCAACGCTTTAACAAATGGCGCTTTTATTATAGGACACCCTCACACAAACAGCAAAACCCCGTTTCTGTTACCCCTCAAGCAAAAATAGGGCTGGTAGAGTTAATTCCAGGATAGCAAACCTTTCACTCTTACACAGCACCGACATACAGGTTTTTGCAAAACAATAAGAGATACCAAGTTTACCATACCAAAAAAACTTACGTATTTAACTTACGTCAATGTTCTGCAACCTAAATCTGACTTCAGACTATAGACTTTTTTCTGATACTAAACTCTGAAATACAGTTCAGTTTAAAATTCCTCATCAGATTAAAATTAATTACTCCAAATACAAACAACAGATGGAAGTTGATTTGGGGAGACAAAAAGACATTCCAGTCTGCCATACATTGGTCATCCTTGGTGCAAGTACCCACCGATACCTATCTATGTACCTATACATACTTATGTATCTATATATGTCTGTCAATAGCTTTCCAAGTTTGACCCAACATTCTCGTAAGCTTTGGTTCTAGTTTCTTTGCTCTTGAGCAAACTTCCTTACAAGTGAAGCTGCTTAGCATTTAATAATTAAAGCATATTAGTGCATCTGTATCTTTTTACGTGACTGAAAAAAAATCCCCACCACTTCACTTGTCATTCAGGGTAGAGTATCCATTAAGTCTGGCTCGTACACACTGCTGCTACGAGAAAACGAGCAGGTGAATAGTCCTATGAATGTCCTAATGCCATTCACCCTTTTATGGCAAAAAGTTACACAAAAAATTGTTAAATGAGTAACAAGGATTAAAGGATTGATAGTGAAATTGTAGGAATAAGTAGGCAAGGAAAGAATGAACAGATAGCCTCTATCCTGCCTCTGAAAAAGCCTTATTTTTCTACATAACTAACCTAATAGCATTTCAAGGTTCAACATTAGAAAAGAGAAAGCCGTTTAGGAGACTGTCCCCCTCAAGAGGTCTTCAAACGAGAAGAGACCTGCCTCTTCCTAAGAGAAAACCAGCCCCAGTCCCGACCATCTGTCTTTCTCCTAGAGAGGCCAATCTTCACAATTCAACAGATGCGACTGCAGTAATTTTTCTGTTTCACAATTGGCATTTAATAAGCTTTGAAAGGAAAGCTGTTGCTTAACACTATAAATCATTTTGGGTGGTGAAGTTTTGTGTTTGCCATTAAAGGTAGACTCTCTGAACTAGGCTGGTCTTCCCCGGTTGGCTCAGCAGGCAGCAGCAAGTTTCTGGACAGCTCAAGTCCCCGCTTCAAAACAACCCCCCAACCCTCCTCCAGCACGTTCTGTCCTTCTGCTTCTGGGTTCGACTAAAACACGTTTACACCTCTTGGAGCAGTCAGAACCCCCAGCCCAGCCTTGAATATTCCTCCTGCCTGCCAGGGCCCTGCAGCCAAGTGCACCACAGGCAACAGTTCAATCCATAGCTCAGGGAAGAAGTGGCCTATTCCCTGGGACCCACAGGCTGCCCGCGGAGCCCAGGGAAGGGCAGGGAAGCTCCAGGGACCAGCCACACCTCTCTCACACTCTCTCACACCCAGCTTTTGCTACCTGGGCCCTTTGGCTGACAGAGCTATTTCCAAGCACTCTCCCCTCCCTACCCAAGAACAAAGGACACACAGACTTTCCCCCACCCCGCTCCTTAAAACACTGAAAGCCAAAAACGAGCAATGCAAACTACTTACCATTTTCTGGGACGGAGGATATAATTTCTTCTCCCCAGCAATGCAAGAATTAGAGACAGCTCCAGGCTCCACCTTTCAGAAACACAGTGGTGAAAAAATAAGTACCTACTTTCCAAACAAGGAAAACCCGCAGACATATTCCTGTTACCTGACTACTTCCTCACAGGGCAACAGGAGACACACAGCATGAGAAGAGAACTTGGGTCAAGAACTGCCCAAGAAATTTTCCATTATGACAGACCTGCCTTCGTGTCTGGCAAAAACTACCACAGACAACGGATACTGCGAGGGAATCCTCACGGAAGCATCACTGCAGCTGGGCGCTGAGTGCCATCAAAGTACCAGAACCAGTTGTCTCAATGAGGTCTTTCCAGACAAAGATTGAACCTGTATTTTCTCCACATACACAGCTCCAGCTAGTCAGAATGCTAATCACAACTCAGATCTGAGTATCAAATCATGAAAAATACTGTCTTGTGAGGTCGAGAAATTTTCCACTAGTGCTTTCAAGGAGGAAGGGACCATCGCAGTGTTGGGATCATGCACAACTGCAGTTGTACTTCAGTACCTGAATGTGACATCATACACAGACTGCAGAGCTTGCAAATATGGGGGCGCTTCATAAAAACCCAAAAACTTACCTTTTTTTAACTTCATCTGCTGCACTCAAACTTTGAGAAGAGTTTCCCATTAGAATGCATCTGCAATAAAGTAAAATCAAACATTAAAACTCCCATTAGCAATAGTATGTCACTTACTACTTTTATTTTTTATCTTAATTCTTCCCCTGTTCAGGAGCTTGTCCTTACTTTAAAAAGGACATACCAGAAAGACTAAACCAGGTATCTGTATTCACTGTCCGTCAGTCACTCCTCCGCCTCTGCCCAGAGCAGCCCCACAACACACTGCTGTCTTGGACATTTAGTGTAAACCAACACACAAAACGCAGCTACGCTTAACAGCCTTTCCAGAGCCAACTCACCCTGCTTACAAGCTTCTGCAAACCAACAATGGGTGTCCAGTTCAGCGGACAGAAAACATCTGGGTATTTCATTTATGAGAGACAACGCAAAAGCAAGAAAAGCAGCAGCACTAACAGTTAAATTAAATAGCATTTACATTAAACTAGTTCTCCGCAAGTTAAATCTGACATTTTAGGCTATTTTTTCCAATAGCTTAAATTTTGAAGAGTATTTCTAAACAATTTTCAAGGTCAGATCAGACCTAAGTACGCCAAATAAAACCAATACACAATGATAGGAGCCGCAGCCCATGCACAAAATTTATTGTGTGCTACTGTTTATAAAATACTTGAATAGTTCAGAACATGCATAAAATTTCCAACTTAGGGGTATGTACAGATTGTACTTTATAGCAAACAAAAAAACCCCCCAAAACAAAACAAAAAAAAGAGGGAGATGAACTCTAGTGACTTAAGTTTCAAGTTAGGTTCCAGGGGATGAGAAGGACATGTAGCAAATGGCAAAATATGTAACAAAGTACAGTGGCAATTAGTACAGTCCATTATTTGTGAACAAATTAGCACAGGGCTTCAATTTTTATTTTAACCAAGCAGTCCTGTAGATACCCAAAAACATGCAGTCTCAAGTGTACACTTTCACTAATGCCTTAGCAGTTGAACAGAGCAATTGCTTACGCGCTGCTTTGCCTAAACAAAAAGTATGTCCAATACAGTTTCAGTTCCTTTACAGATTTAAAAATAAAAAGCTTGCAGCTATTCAGCCCAGTGATTATAAGCTATTTATGCAACCGTAATACTCACAATAAACTAAAAGTACCCATAACATCTAGGTAACCTAGAGATGTACATCATAGGTCTATATATTAAATATCTGCAAAATGAAAACATGCATACACAAAATACAATGCCAAGCTTTACAGACTTGATATGAATCAAAATTTACTTAAACAATGTACAAAGTTCAATTAAAAGTACCTTAAAATTAACACTTCCATATTTTTCTTACTTTTAAAATTAGTATATATAATAATAATTTTTTTTAAAATCGAAGGTGGGGAAGAGTCTTGAAAAAGCTGGGCAAAAAAGTTTCTAAATTAAATATTTTTTTTAAATCTGTGTTCAAGTAATAAACATTCCTACATAGAAATCTTCTGGTAAGCTGTAACTAAAAAATACAGTGAATACAATATAGAATTAGCAACATCTAAGGAGTAAACCTGAGGTCAGCATTTTACAGAATGACCAACTGAGATTTTTTTTGTTGTTTTTTGGCATTTTTTCTGTCTATTTAAAATACAGTTTTTGCAGCCTCAGATATTTTAAGACCATTCTAATCTATCATTTTAAAGACATTTCATGAAACTGATGTCCATTAATAAATAGTTAGCTCTTAGGGTTGTATTTGAAAGTCTGATTTAAAAAAACCAAAGAAACTACCCCTACACTAAAAGAAAAAATTCCATTTGTAAACTTAAAAGTGTTGACAACGATAAGCATAAGATGCTAGTCTAGATGTGCTTTAGTGGTAACAGCCCGATGCTTTCCCCAGATCTCTTCTGCAGCTTCAGCAGCCGGTGATGGACTTCGTGTCAGTAGGTGAGGCACGCTCCCAGGAGACCGGGTCACCACGTAAGGAGAGGGGCTGTTGTCTCAAAAGCACGACGGTCAGCAGGATCACGTCAGATGGTTTTCCACCTCATGCTAAGTCGTCACTTGGAGTGATCCCCCTGGCTACTTCATCTGTTGTCACATCAAAAAGCAGTAATCTAGGAATTCTCAGGCAAGACATGAGTGAGTAAACCAGAAGCCGACGTGGTCACTGTGCATTGTTGTTGCCAGTTCCATTGTTTCCATTGGCATTTGTTGTGTTTATAGTATTAATACCATCTTGCTGAAGAGCATCTTTTCTTGGTGGCATTCTCTCATTGATCCTATCCAAACCTTTTGCTTCTTCAAAACTGCAGATTTTATGTTGCGGAGAGAATCCTCGTATTGCTTAACAAAATGCAAATTTGATATGTCAGTAACGGAAAAATAAGTTGAAAGCATATACTTTTTCTAACAAATGATGTTTAAAAACAGGTAAGAAACCAGCCAAAGTAACTTATGGCTCTGCATTTGTATTAGTAAAAGCTTCTCTAACCTGATTTCCTGAAATGTTCAACAAAAATCATGATTTCGGTTTATAACAGAAAGAAAAAAGTATGGCAAATATTCTGCAAGTTGGAATCAAGGGGTTTAAGCCCACTTGATTGCTTCTGCGTGTCCCTGGGGTGGCCAGCTACCAACACCAACTGCTCTTGCTGTTCGGTGCGTCAGGCTTATCTTAACATCCCCCTTCTCTTCGGTGGAACGTCAGTAAGACCTAAGCAGCACCAGCAAGTGCAGTGGGGGCAAAGCAGCAGAGCGTTACAAAAGTAATAGTAGGTGTACGTCCTGCATCCGCACCGACGGCCTGATCCTGCAGTTTTCATGCAGCCAAAACTGCGGGATATGGTTCACGTTCTGCTAATCGTATGGACGACGGAAACAGACACAATCATCATGACTGAGTTAGCACTGTGGTTAAACGATGGTATCATTTAAATACAGATGTATTTAAAGCAAGTCTAGAAAATAGTTATTATTTAGCTACTGATTATTTTAATGAATGAGGTATGTAGTTGAATCTAGACCTGAAAATGGCTGACCACACAACCAGACTGAAGTCTTTGGGATGAAATAATTCTTTGGAGATTTAAGAACAGCTTTCCACTCACAACAACGGGACCTCTTGCACGTGTGTGTGAGAACAGAATATGGCAGTTGTTTATATTTTTGGAGATCTGACCTCCTTAATTAAAAAAAAGAATAGAGTCATTAAATGGTGCTTTGCGACCAAATCTGAAAAACCCCAAGGGTAGCACGCTCAGCCGCTATGCTGTTCGTCATTCACTTCATTGAATATGGAGCAAGAGGAAATTAAAATATCTCTGAAAAGACAACAATCTGACATTGAATACTCTGAACACCAAATAATTTGATGGCATTTTGCTCAATACCACTAGCAAAGGACGTATATACAACTTATTTAGCACAGAAGCACTGCTAATCCATGGAACTTAATATGCCTCACACTGGCAGGCTGGCACATATACCAGAAATAAATTTGGTCAACAAATTACGTTCAAAATCTACAGAAAAAATGTTACATTTATATGTCTTGCACTACCAGATGTATTATGGAAAGTTTAAAAAAAAAGATATGTTCAAAGCCATTAAAATAGATTTTATGAGAAAAGGCATGCATAAACAACCCTCCTTCCACATATAGCCCCCCCGCAATCAAACAAAACCTTGCAGTTGAATGCAGAAAAAAAACTACTAAACACTATCATTTTTAAGGACTTCAAGACAACACCACATATCACAACATGCTATTATACAAAAACCTACTGCAGATTTTGTAAAAACAAACAAAAAAGACCAACCTCCCCCAAGAAATTCCCTAAAATAATAATCATCATCCTAAAGCCAGAAATGAATGTTACATGTAAAAGGGATGAATCAATGCAGTTGATTCATCGCCGCTTGTGCAAGTTGAAAGTAAAACACACCCACACAGAGTACTTTTGAATGCCCTCCCAGACACCACAGATCTCTGCCAGTGGCAGAGACTCTGATCATACCTTTTTCAGCCTCAATTGCCTCTACAGTGGCTGTACAGAAGTGAGCAGATGCATGCAAAATGAATGAGAAAGATGAAGAGTGTAATATCGCATAGCAGAAAAGGCAATGATCAATTTAATATAGTATGCTACGCCAGATTAGATTACAATTAGTTACAATTAAGGTTTTGGGGGGTTCTTTTTAAGTGAAACTTCTCCTACATTTTAACTAATACAATTTATGAACTAAACGTATATCAAAGCAACACTAATTAACTGATGCTATTAACTGCACATTTCTATAAGGTGTGGGTTTTGTTCTTTTGTGTTTTGGTTTTGTTTTTTATTTATAAGACAGCAGCAGAAAATCTCAACTGATGTTAAAGTTGTGGTATTTTAAAAAAATACTAAAAATCTCTTTGAGACTGCTATTTCTGAAGATTAAAATGCATTAGTAAGCTTCATTAAATTACTAGGAAGGTAATAACACTAGCAGTGTTCTAATAATAAGAAATTTCTTTTTCTTTATGTTCAGCTCCCTGAAGTTTAACTAGTACTTCCATTTCTCACTGTATTTTAAGCGAAAATGGGTATCTCTGAGAACTGAACTATGAAATTTAAACCATAAAAGACAAATCGAGCAAGTCATATTTACAAAGTCTTGTAAATTGTTTAGTTGGATCAACTAAGTCTACAGCAGGAAGAAGTCTGGGTTTAACATAGTTTTGGTGGGTGTATTATGAGAATATGAAAAAAAAAACCAATTCTAGTTTACTAGTTGTTTTTCGAACTAAGTAACCATGACATCTGCTGTAATTTCTTAGGTGCCAGATCTTTCCCAATTGTTTTAGCTCTAGAAGTGAAAGCTTTAACACAAGGGTAGCTTACGTTAAAGGAAAGCTTTAGCATAGGATATCAAAATAACTTCCCATTAGGGCAGACTTGCTAGAGAAACCACTTTGTAACTATGACGTAAACTGTAGCTAAGTTTCAATAGTGGTAACAACTTTTTACCTCCCCTACTATGTGCTGTGCCTCTAATACTGTAATTTCAGAAATATTAACAAAAAATAGCACACATAGTGGTAAATCTACTTGTGTAGTGCTTGATACAGGTTGTTAACAACAAAAATCCTAACAGAGTATTCAAGCAATTGTTGGGGAAACTAGCTATATGAGAAAATATGGCATTAGATCAGAAGAGAATTCTTTAAAGCCAATCAAGTTTATTACTTCTAATTTCCTATCCAACAAAACCCTGACACATTTCAGTTGCCTACAGTATGTTGCTATGTACCAACATATGCCTACACTATGCCTTAACCTCACTGTTGCATAAAATGGTAATTTCCACCAAGATACTCTCAATGAATAAATAAAATCAGATACTTGCAATAAGTGCTACTAAAATAATGTGGATTTCTTAAGGGTAATGCAGCATTTTAACTTTTACGTACTGCACATTCCATGGTACCAAAAAAAAAAAAAATCCTGCACGTAAATCTACAGAGATAACAGCAATCCCAGAATTAAATCAAAAAGCCACTTGAATAGATGGTTATTTATGTTTACATTGGGGAAAGAAAATTTCTCAAATTGTAAAAATTAGTTTAAGAATTATTTTAGAAGGTCACCAAATACATACTTTCATAATATAATCAATTTGCCATACAAACACAAAACTATGTAAAAAACCACCTCTTTCCACCATTTCCTGTTACCTGTGATGTCTTTGTTTTCAATCTTTTCCTGAAAAGATCATGAATACTGATTTATCTCTGTAAATTATGTAGCTTGGTCATAAATACAAATTTCAAAATTTACTCCTAGTTCATTCTACTTGTAGTACTATTATTCCAAAAAGATCTTGGACTATACACCACAGTTAAGAAAAAGATAATTTTTAACTTGACATAAAAGAACAAACTGACTGGAAAATACAAGTACTTCAAAAAAAACTGTAAAGACTCAATTTGGAAAACAATTTTGTTGGATTCTCTTTTGCAGGCACATCCAAATTAAAACTATATCCTTTGTAAACCCTGATAAACCTCAAATAAATACTGTATCATACTAACATAACAGGCAGTCCAGGAAGTCTTTGCTCCGAAAATTCTTGACTTGAGAGCAAAGCTTAAGCAACAGGGTTCAATGGCATTCCCATCCTCAATTCCAGCTCTCCCCCTGCTTTACTTAGGGGACAGATCCGAAACAAAAATCCTTGCCAACTTTCAACATAAAACCAAAAAACTATTTTACTGCCCCTCTGACTAATAGCAAGGGCAGCAATGGAAGATAAGAACTATTTGGCTTGTTCAACTTATTTCCATGGAAGTAGTTAGGATTTTTAATTTTGGTTTGTGTTTAGTGTGTTGCCGAATAAGGCTTTAGGTGTTTTGTTTCTTGGTGTTTGTGGTTTCCACCCCTCCCCGACAGATGTTGACTCAGTTTAGAAAATAATTTTGTTGGATTCAGTTCACAGAATATTCAATTCACAGAATAAGACACTAGCAAATGCTACTTTAAAGAATAATACTTAATACGGTCTTTAGTATTTCAGCTACTATAATGCAAGCAACATAAATAATAAAAACCATAAATCTACATTAAAAAAAAAGAGAAACATACAAAGGCCATGATTTCCCAAAGTCTATTCTTATTCCAGTGCATTAAAGCTATCTAAAAATAACCTATGATTCGTTTTTCAAAAATATATCCATGTATTTCTGGAAAAAAACCCCAACCATATATTGACTTCTTCCATAGGATGTGGTTTTGCACTTTTTTCCCAAAATTATCTTTTCTAACTGACTTGTCTTTGTTTAACCCTTTTGCTACAGTTAGGATTTGTATTTCACCCACAGATTGCTCTGCTTTCCAGTAAAAATCTGTTCAAGCATTGCCCATAAAGCAGCTGCATTAGATTTAACACGTCTGGTACCCTACTCTGCATTATGTCAATGCCAACAAGCTTCTCTCCTCTGAGAATGGCCAGTATGTCACAGGAGACAGGAGCTGTGGCTGAACAAATTCCTGAAACAGTAGTGGTATTTTGCCAAGATCTAGTACAGAACATGTTACTGACATTAAGAATTATAATAGGCATATATGCAAAAATTGCATACGCATTGCCATAATGGTGACTTACACATATATGTCTATCTATATATTTGCCCTGATAATAAAATTTCAGCCCAGCTCTCTACAGAAATTTAGATATACACTCCAATTTCTTACAGCTTTCAAAGCTTCTTATAGATTTAATAGCAACCAGCACAACTCTTCTCAGTGTGCCATTGAAAAATGAACACTTAAAAGACTGAAACCTGAAAAACCCATGACATTGGTCAATTTTGTGAATTTTCAACCAAACGGAAGAATAGAATAAAAAACCCCCTACTATTAATATTATGGTTTTTATTTTTCTCAAATCTAGACTAGTGTAAATTATTGATAGTATATTGAGCAATATAGTACAATATACATCAAAAAGTAATGCAATATTTATAGTAAGAAATCCTACTATACTATCAGTGATCATATTTTTGCCAAGAATATGAATTCACTGATATTACAATGGTTTAGGAAAGCGTCAATTTTAAGTTTTATTTCATTTTTGGTTTATTTCTAGCTTTGCAGTTAAGCATAGTAATTTGAAAACATCTACTTTCTGAAGACTGAAACAATAAAATTCTTATCAGTAAATAGAAGTTACTGCAATGTAAGGAGAACTAGCAGTTGGCATGAGTTGTTTTGAACAATCAACATGACTAAAACAAATGACGTATATTGATGTAGTGCATCAAGGAATATTGCCATCAAAAGTTCTAGTCAAGAAAACACACCCACAAAAATCCAAAACGCATTTTGCATACTTTCCAAATGTCCCACATTTTCAGTAATGGTAGAAAGTTGTATGTTTTAAGTTAAAAAAATTTTCTAGTCAGTTTGATCCTCTCGGGTATTTGTAATGCAACATGGACAAAAACCTGTTCAATGAGTGAGAGGAATGCAGACTCATTTTTTTAAGCATAATAAAGTATCTTATTAAACAATGAAAATGAAAACTAGAACATATGCTTTGGGAATAGTTGGATGGATTAGGAAACATACACCATTTCTTGTTATAGACGTCCACAAAACAATGACATACATACACTGGACATATAAACTTACTTGTAGACATTATATGTCCACTGAAAAATGACTTATAATGTGACATTCATGTTTCAAAGCTACCAGAAAACAGCTTTGATAGTTTAATAGAAAATGGAGCGAAAGGCTTTAAAAAAAAAAACCTACACAGAAAATTTTAAAAATTCAAACAGCCTAAATCACAAAATGCGAAAAGCAGCTACTTTTGGAAAATAGATTGTGTAAAAAGTGGTATTCACATATCACAATCTTTCAATAGTTATAAAATTCAGTGGTCCCATACAACAGTTTTATACTTTCTATTAAAGCCTGAAGATGGCCAATAAAAAGTCTTTGAATAATTTATATTAAGAGTGCTGCTGACATCAAGTCCAGTTTCAGACTGGTATATTTTAGTTATCCACCACTGTGAACAGAAACCTGGACTTCGTTCTTTTCATACATTTGGTACAATCTCATAGCATACTCCCTAAGCCTAGTTAATCACTTATGGGCCTTGTGAAAAATATGATCCAATGATTCAACAAACTAAAAAAAGAAGAAAAACCTTTTACGAAATATTCAATGAGCCAGATTACAGGTATATTTTGTATAGAGTTCTTTTTATTTTCATGCAAAAAAAAATATATGCACACTTAATAACACCCTTTTGATTTATTTACAAGTTTTAAATTCAATCCCTTTATTCTCAACTGATTTTATAACAATTACTGAGTATTTTTCAAGTACATTATTGTTCAAAATGCACAGACAATGTGCGGCAGCAAATGCAGCAAACCTCAAAAACAAGGTGCTACAACATTGCTTCTACATCAAGAGACAGACAAGTGTCTGGGATAGTGGTTTAATTTTAACACTTATACAGACATACATCTATACCTAGAGAGAGACAGACAGATCTAAGAAAGCAGCTACATCTGCAGAGGAAGGAAACAGCATGTTACAAGGACAATTCAGGGAGGTCAATTATACATAGAACATTTGACAAACAACATAGAGAACAAACTTTGGCATTAATTACCAGGGTACAAAACACAGCACATTTGTGTTGTGTCATATGTAACTCTGCATCCTGTAGCTGTTTGTTAATATTAACAAGTATTTGAGATTGTCAATGAAAATACTAACACATCTATAATAAAATCATTTTAATGGAAAGCAATGATGCAAAATTACATTGCCATTTTTGTATCTGTAATCATCAAAACGCCTCAACAGCAGATCTATAAGGTCACCCCACTTCAGGCATCTGCGCCACCTGAAAAACTGTAAACTACGGAAGCTCAAAGTCTGAAAAATGTGGCCTCACACCACTAAACTAATTTGCTTTTAGTTTTATACCCTGGTTAAATATCCATTTCACATTGCCTGATTAACACATAACACTATGCTTGTATCAGCCGCTAAGACAAGAACTGAAAAGCATAAGAAATTCCCTGCATGCATTATGTGTAGTGTTAGCAAAAGAGTGAGATGTGCCCCAGTCCATTTGAGGCACAGCAAGTTGCATAACATCATTACCACTTTGCAGGGTCTGTCGTCCTCCAGCCAACACTCCACTAGGTAACATTCCAGTGGGAGTCAAACCCTTGAGTGTCAGCACACTTTCACTCTCCTCCCTGGTGTGAGAAAAAACAGTAACAAACCCTTAAATACATGCTCATGAAAACTTGTATTAAAGTAAAATAAGGGATGGGGAGAGAGTCTACTTTTGCCGCGCTTCATGCATGTCAAGACCGAATGTAAATTCAAATGCAAACAACTAGAAAGGGAAAAATATTTCTATTCCATACCAGTCTTTCCTCTGCTTAGGAGTGATTAACACTGATTACTTCTGAACCACATTCGAAGTAATTATTCACACGCAAGCTCATTAGCTTTGAAATTAGCACTGAATGTCTCATGAGGTACTGAATGTATCTCGGTGCAATAAAACAAGCCACAATTTTGTTTGAAGTATCTATGCTTCAGGAAATATAAACTTTAAAAAATGATACCTATTTGAACAATTATAGTCTGTGGAAAACTATCCGTTTTGGGTAAACATGATCATGAAATCTCTAGATCTAGACAGGTACAAGAAAATGGTATTTTTTTAAAAGCTGAAAACAAACAAAAACCCAAGACAAAAAAAACACCCCTAGTCCTCAACTTTCTGGTATGACAGAAGTTTTCTGAGCCAGTCCTGACCTCTTCCATTACAACCTTGATTTCAATATCTTTACTTCGGTACTGTCTTTCCAACATTTGCAGTTAACAGCTGGACAAATAACTTGTAAAATAAAGATCACGTTCTCTAGTTTCTTGAAACATGTCTCAAACATAACTTAAAAACATTCTTTAAACAAAAATACCAACATCAATGGGGTGCACCAATACGCCAAACAAGATTCTGAAGTACAATGATGTCCCTGAAAAATGTTTGGCATCCACTACCGGGAAGAGAGCTACATTTTCCTAATTTACATAATAAGAGGCATTTTAGGAATGCAGAAGTCATGCAAGTACCTGAGAACAGAGAAGACTCTTGCCATCTTGCCAATTGCACGAATTTTGTTTCTGATTATTTCTTTCCGTGCGGCAGCTGTACCTACTTTCAATGGAATAAGAGAGAGTCTCAAGCTCATGAGTATTTACAAGGCCACCATTTAAAAGTGCATCGAATTCAAAACAACTGTTTTAAGTTCAGTACTCTTCACAGGAGGCCAGTACCCAAACACTTCAGGGCACAAAGTTATGAAATCATGGCTTCAGAATGCCATCAAAACCTCTGTGTCCACAAAACACACACAAAAAATGTTAAGATGTTCACAGTGATTTGCTAAAGCTAGCAAGCATCTGAATTACCACCACTACAGTGTAGTAACTATCATAACTTGTTTGCCTAAATTTTACTTTTGAAATTCTTCACTGACATCTGTGTATATCGAGTTGTAGGCATGCAGCCAATACAGAAGCCAAAGAGATATTTAAGCCACAAAAAAATAAAGATTTATTGTTAATTCTTACACAGCTGTCCAAGAGAAAACAGTTTGTTTGCTTGTTTTTATGTCAACTTCCCAAAACACACACCCACAAAAACCCCACAGAATGAAATGCTGAAGAATTGCAGCATTACCTCCCTTATCACCTAATTCTGTGTTCTGTATCATCTTAGGTTTGCATCATTTGAAGATATTACAAATACCAAAGATCTGGAGTATATACCGCACATTCCACAGAGCGGAGACATACTATTTGTGACAGGTAAAAGCAAAGACAAAACTCTGAAAGGAAGCTTGCGATTGGGAAGGACAGCCACCTTTGCCAGCCTTGATGTTATAAAAACAGAAGCTCCTTTCTCCAACACTAGGTATCGCTGGTTTGTTTCAATGTATAGAAGTCATCCTTCCCCTCATCCTCCCTTTCCTTTTGCTGACTCCTCAATTACACTAAAACAGTAAAGGCAGATGAGGAAATGCCAAAACTAAAATCCTTACTTCTCCTGAGTCATTGGGGAAGCAGAGTATTAAGCACACCAAGATAAGAGTAACTCAGTCATACTTGGAATTCAACCACAGGGTTGGGGGGCGGGGGGGGCAAAAGTGAACAAAGTCAGACAGCTCTATTAGGTATTCCAGATCTTCCATATATCACTGTTCTTCAACCCTGGGGGAAATGTACTCATTAAAAAGTTGCCAAACTAATTTGCAAGAATGTAGAAGAGAGGATCACAGAAGTGGGCAGAGAAAAGTGGCATATCCACAGTTTTTTTCATCCCTGCTCACTAGTATTTAGCTTCCACATCAGAGTCCACACACTCTAGCACAACAGTCACCCTTTTCAGACCACAGCTACAAGAACGCAAAGCCTTCCATTGCACAAGAGTGGGGAGACTTCCCACCCTGAACACCAAACCCAATAAAATACAAAGGATAAGGCATATAGGAGCAAACAACAACAATAAAATCACACAAGAAGGAAAACTTATAGTAGTGACAAAGAAAAAAGGGAGGAGGAGACAACCTTTCTTATGATCACAATGAAAGTATCTCAGGGTATGGCAAATATCTGCCAATCCATTTAAAAGAAATGAAAAAGCCAGGTACTACCAAGTAAAGCTTCTTTAGATGAAGGAACAACTTTAATGAACTGCAGACACCAAATTAAAACAAACAAACAAAAATCAGAAGGCTCAGAAAAAACTTGGAATAGATGGGTTGAAACATTCAATTTTTACTGAAAAGAATTTATTTTAAACTTTTTACTTTTAAAGTTCTAGAACCTTCTATTTTCTCTCTTTGAACACTACTAAATAACAGCTTGAGGATCTGGAATGAGGAGTCTCTTTCAGAGTTTTTGAAAAGGCTAGGGCTAAACAAGGCACCATCAAACTTTCCGTACAAGTGCCTCAATTTTCCTCCTACCTACACCTATTTGAGGGCTACGCTGCTGCAACGCTGTAACATGCAGGCTGAAAGATTTCAGGCAGTGCTAGTGCCTGTATCTCAACTCCGAAGGTCCCTGTGCCTTAAAAAGAAAAAGGCTGGTTTGGGGTAGTTTTAGTGTTTGTTTCATGGTTTTTTGTTTGTTTGTTTGGGGTTTTTTTTGGTCTTTATTTTTTTAACATGATCTTTCATGGCCCCAGCCCTACAGAAGTAATGCAGCCATGCCGAAATGCAGCAGCACTGCACTAACGTGGCCACTAAATTCTGGGTAGTTCAGAGAAGAGACAGTAAGGTGGCATCTGCTTGCAGAAGAACATCTTGATTACACCCTAAATTAGGAGATATGACAAAGAACTTTCTCATTCTCCATTCCCAATGCCTGCACAAGAAACAAATTCTGAAATGCTCATACTATTATGTTCCAAAGAATTCACATAAACTTTGGAAACCTCTTTATAATCTAATGCACTCCCAAGTATTAGAAATATTCTTTGGAAGTGACAAATTTACACCGAAAACAAATTGGTTATTAGGTAAGCAATGGTGAGAAGAATTTTTCTGCACAGAATTATCTACACTGGAATTCTGAGAAACAGATGATAGACCATGAATTTAAGTTAGTAGGCTTCTTTTTACATCTTGTATGCAGCCATCTTCAAAACTGTACATACAATCAAAAAGTACCTTTTTGACATCTCAGTTGAAGGAAACTAAAAGTACTATACAAACCAGGTTTTGGAACATTGTATAAATACATTCCATGCACAATCTTAAAAAAAAAAGCTCACAATAAAATTTTTAAAGAGCAAGACAGACAACTGAACGCTCCCTATACATGCAGGACCAAAGATAAAATTTTAGAAATAGGTAAAGAATGAAATTCTACCAAAAAAGGAATGGAAGAAAGGAGGAAAAAAATTCATGCACAGAAAGACAGATGTCTTGGAATATGACTTCTGATAACAAAATATACAAGCCTTCGTAAACATCCCATTAAAATGGCTAATAGTAATAGTATTCTACATATGTCTCTCAACAGAAAAGTGTTTTCTACATTAATACTTATACTGCCAGGTTCTATGAAGTCATATTTCAAAACATTCCTACTCTGTCTGGTCTGTACCTTTTTTATTGCCATATATGAGTCGCTCTTCAGATGGAGAGTCCAGAAAAAAAGGAAGTGAACGATGGAGAAAAAGGTGAGTGAGACAAATAAAATAAAGATATTTAACTTGGCAGTGGTAATAAAGAAGGAATGGAGAAGAAATGTGAAAAAATAAAATGGAAAATTGCAACACTTAAAAATGCATTCATCAAACAAGAAGTGGAATTGTTGAGTGTATTTTAAAATTTGACAATAAACAAGTGAAAGCTTGAAAGTCAACAGTTAAAAAAAAAATCCGTTCACATAGAAAGATAAAGCGTAGACGGTACCTAGGTGGCATTAAGAGATGCACCAAGCAAAGAAATTGTTAAAGGAGACAGAAGAATAAAATAATTCAAATTAGGAAACTGCAACTATTGTAATAAAGACAGGGCATATGCAATTAACTGATCACTGCACTTATACTGGACAACCTAAATCCTAATGTCTCAGAACACCACCAAACCCTACCCTGTAAATGCTTGGTGTAATTGCTTTATGCTCAGTTTAGTAGGATTACTTGAATGGAAAACCTAAATTAACTGCTTGCAGTATCACATTTGAGACCATTTCTAAGTTTTCACATTTCTGGAAACAATCTAAATGGTAGCAAAGTTCAAGTGGCTCATAACTAATGCATTCCAACCTACACCACACAGCTGCTTAGCACAACACTATTCTGCTACTGAATTTGAAACACAGTAGTTATCAAACATTAAGAATGGGGTCATGTGTCTACTATCTTTATAAATGATCTTTAGTGTTCCTCAACAGCTGCTGAAACTTTCCTTCCTCCTCCCCCATCATCAAACAATCCACCAAATCAGTTCTGTTATTGGGTAAAATGAAACAAGTCTAAGAAACTTTTAGGTGTGACATTAAGCACTACTGTAAAAAAAAAACCGAAGTGTGATATGCTAGGTCTTCATATTAATGTTGCTACTTAATCATCATGCTACAAACATCTCCTTAAAAATCTACTGTATCATAGTTTACAAGATAGAAAGATGTTATAATTCATTACATAAATACATATTATACAACGTATGTATAAAAGTTCTCCTACCTTCTATGCTTTAAACTCAAACACCAAGACTTAAACTTGTATTTCATACTTTTTGGTGTAGTACTTTGCCATAAGAAGTATTATATCTGACTTTCACCTATATCAACTCTTTATTGAAGAGCAATCATTAAGAATTTTAAGGTCTTGTAATAATTTATTCTAAATATTAACAAAGTAAGTTCACTATGTTTCAAGTCTGATAATTTTCCACAAAATTTTCAGTTTTAAATAGAAATCGGATATTAATATTTGCAAAGGACACCATTACTGCTTCTTGATCACAAAACCACAATTCCCTTCTCTAATCCCCAAAGTGTCATTATCTAAAGAAAAATTTGAAGGCAATTTTCTTCAAATTCCAGGTAGTATCACAGTAGTCTAAGTTAACTGTGTCACAAGTTATTATCATTAAAAAGATTTATATATCTTAAAGTAACCCCTACCGTCAAATTGATCTTCTCCCTCTGTCATCAGTTCATCATCAGAGCAAATGCTCAAAACATTCACCAACATTTCTGTTACTGTATAGGAAAAAATAAATCTTAATTCATTCCCTGTAGAATTTTAAGCATTTCCATGCACACAAGATGTAACTAGTCACCAGCAACTATAGTGAATGAACTCCCCACATCATAGTCATTGCTCTGGTTTTAAAAAAATGTGGTTTTCTTGATGTTCACTGCCACAGAATTTAAAAAGCTCAGAAAAATAAGCAGCTAAAAATTATACCACCTAACAATTAAAGAACACAAAGGAGCTTTCTCTCTTATCTTACAAGGAATTCTTTTAGATAAGAATTCTCTTTTCGTATATTAGTATTTTTACATCAGGATAAGTACTTGAACTAGTTTTTATGCAAAATTTACTTTATTTAAAGTTTGCTTTACAAATATGAAAACATTGGTACTGCTCAAACTTGGCTTTGGTAAGAGAAAACTATTCCATTCCTGGCACCTGCAGGCATGTAGCAGAAGCACTGAAGCAGAAAAATATTTTCTATAAATGTGGTGCAAAGTACATGTCTTTTCAAACTCCCCTTAAAAATATCAACATAGCGGATACACAAACTTGTCTCAAAAAGCTTGTATTTTCTTTCTCCAAGTCACCCTTATTCTGCCACTTGATCTTTCCCATGTATATAAGACTCTTTCTTAAAACAGTCAAACTTCTCCTCCCCCTAGAGTGTTCAGAAACCTATTCCAGAAGTTCAGTCAGATGGTTAGAAGCCCTGTAAAGTGCTGTCTACATTTATTCATGACTAATTCATACAATCCCTATGTTATCTGCTATGGTATTCTTCGGAAGCAGTTACTCTCTACTTTACTGAAAGTAATCAAACAAATTACTCTGATTTTTATCTGTTCGATGCAGACCAGACAATATTGACACTATATTCTTCATCAAACATGGGAGCATGTGTTTGTCCAAAGTCAAGACAAACTACAAGGGCCATGACTGTAGCAGTCTTAAGTATAGAGCAGGTCAATGAGAAACTGATTTACTGGTACTTGATGTCTCATTACCAGCAGCATAACAAAAGCAAAATAAACAGTATTATCATCTTCAACAGCAAAGGGTTGTCTACTGCATCATTGGGTAGGAGAGATAAAAACAAAAATCTCCTTTCAAACGTCAGATCCCGCCATTTAAATATAAAAAACATTATTGAGGGGGTTAACCACACTAAAGTGTCCAAATTATTTGCTTTGAACTGCTCACAAAAGACAATATAATAAATAATAGATTCCTAGGTTTATATGACTGTAAATATATAATCTCAAGAATACTTTTCATAGAAATGTAAAGAGCTTTCCAGATCTCTTTTATAAAAAGAGCAGTTCCTGTCATGGAAGGATTTAGCCTCTAACCTCATTGCTTTTTAACCGAAGACTACTTGGAGCCCCAGTGTCCTAGATTCAGAGTTATCAACTCTAGAGGGGGAAAAAATAATAAATCTGTGCTAAATTATCTTTTTTTACAAGAATAATCATAACTGAAAGAGCTACCTTTGATGAAGGTCAATCTAACTATGTAAAAAAGTTAAAATTTTACATGAAGATCTCAACCCAGTTTATACCTATAACTATACAAGATCATTGATGTATGTAACCATAGCATTTTGTAAAATATGAACAACTTTCATATTGATTCCAAATGCAGTTCAAAGGTACTATTTAACAATGCAAGTATACATCCTCAATGGGAATTACAATTTCTGTTAACACCTCTGCTTTATTAGATGCAGTTTTAACTATCTTAACTGAAACAGGTGAAGAAAGTAACCAAAACCCATATAAGAAGTTGTATTTAGTCTATCCTTTCTCAGAAATGGCATTTTCACATGCCAAAAAAACCCTCCAAATCAGTTTAACAACTTTACCAAATCTTCTTTGTAATTAAGCATCCAAGAAGTCTACCTGATAAAGACAAACACAGATACCCATTTTCACAAAAACTATGCAATTAATCTCTCATTGGTAAATATATTTTTAAAAAAATCTTCCCATCATCAATCTGGGAGAAACAGGAAAGAATTCATTAACGTGTAACTTTTGCCTACCTTTTTCTCCAACAAATGGTAAAGACCATGTGAAAACATCCATAAAATTTGGTAGCCAGTAAGGGTGAGGAGAACAATTGAATTGCCGAATATTCATCACATTGTTTTCGTATTTTAATACAGCAGCTAAAATAGAATTCAGACATTTTGGAAAGAATGTTTAAAACTTGCGAGTACCACAAATGTAAAGTCACAGGGTTGTTTTAGCTCTATTTTATACTATAGACAAAATAAACAGAGAGATAATCCATTCTCTTTCTTTCACAGTATTTACAGGACAGATTTCTCATGGAGAACTTTGGATTTTCTTTTATTGCAAATGTTGCAGTTTAAGGTACTGTTACATGCCAGTATAGTTCCGTACTATCCTAAAATAGGTCTATAATGAACAAAGATTTTAAAAGGTCCTGAAAAGGTATAATTTCAGCAACTTGAACAAAATCCTAACTCAGAACAGTGGTATATTCAGGTTCAGGTTTTATTCTTCGTATGCGTCTTCCCACATTGTAAGCCTGGAGTAAAATAACAGAAATCTTTTTTCTGTTAGAGAAGGGGAAGGAGAAGGGGGAGCACAGGGAAACAAAGCAGAAAAACAGAAGCATTCTAAACCTAAGTAAGTGTTGATTGCATTTTTCCATACTTAAGCTTGCACTACACTGAGAATAGCTGATGTGAAAACAGATTCTTAAAATGCATTAGCCACAGAAATATTGAAAAAAATGTAAAAAGCCACTTGAACCTATTTTTATTTCTGCTTTCTTTACAATCAGTGCAAGTAACAACAGCTCATCTTTTCCTCTATGCAGTTAATCACCCTACATAAGTGGTATGGGTTGGGGAGGTGCTTCTTTGAGGTTGGTGGGAGAAAATGCATGCATTTAATAGGAAAGAGGTTTTGGTTTCAAAGGAACTCTGTCTGAACATTTGCGGATCACCCATTCATCACATACTTGAAATGCCATACTTTAACGTCATACTTGAATTTCAGCAGGCTTTATTTTTAATTATTTCTGTTGTTGAACTTAGTTCTTATCTATGAGTATTAGCATTTCACAGTTAAGCTCTTCTCTGTAATTCTGACTTGTAAACCTTTCTCCACGTTATTAAGCATGCTTCTCTTCTGCAACAGGAGATGGACAAAAAGCAGAGGATGGACAAAAAGTAATTCCTTCTGTTTTATACCTCCCTAATAACATTTCCCATGGTGATCAGTATTTAGGTCCGTACGTGCTCCTTCTTGATTTCCCAGACATGGTCCTGTACCATCACAAAACACACACTTTCCCTGTCTCATTTTCTTCCCAGTGACCACCTATTTATAAGCATAGTGGGTTTTGGTTTTCTTCACCAAGGTACCTACCGTAGTTCACATTCGTGGAGTTCATCCGCATGTAATTTCTTCCGTCCAGAATTAGACTCTCAGATGCCGTTATACACAACACAAACTACCTTATGCATAGGCTGCTGATCAATGCTTCCTCCCTTCCTTACTTAGTTCACAAACTAAAGACAACCAGAGGAGTGAAAACTCACAGCACAGGAATGCCTTGCCTGACTGGAAAACACCAGGTGACACATTCGTAAGTACTAAATAGAAACAATTTTTACACAGGAAACGTTTGCCCACACTTCTGCTTCAAGGTACTCTTAGTCATTTATGTCACGTGCTCCTCTTCATAACGCAACTTTTATTAATGGATTTTTTTGTCCTTTAATTTCTTACCTGGCAAAAAATTGTTGATATTAGATGACTTATCTAGTAAGATATTTTTATTTTATTATTACATATAGTTATTAATAGCAAGTTCTTACCTTTATTATTGTAGACATCCAGATAATTAGGTGCTGAAAAAATGGTTATTAATGATGGGAACCCTGTAGTTTGACTTTTCCTGTACATTCTATAACTGCAAAATCAAACAGATTATTTTACATCTTACAGCAATAAGCAAACTTTATTTTACACTGTGAATAATTTCATGAAGGACACGAAGTACTTACCCTGCATCTTGTGCTTCATGCGCTCTAATAATTGACAACAAATTATTATTTTGCAAAAATTCACAAACTGCTGGATAGCTGTGAAATGAAAACCAACTATGAGTAAAAGGAATTCTCTTAAAATATGCAAGAGTCAGCATTAAAACATCAAATAGACCATAGCATACTCTCACCTATAAAAGTATGAGCATCCTCTGACTGTATTGTGACTGAAATGCTCTTGTGAATTTTCATTTCCAAAATCTTCTGAAGGATCTGACCACAGTAAGTCACACATTGGTCCAAATGCTGGAGGCTCTTTGAATCTATCTAACTGTTTGAGAAAAGGCAACAGCAAAAAGGTTCTTTGAATATTAAATCAGTAAGTTTTACACATTCATTAAAACTACATATCCATCAATACCAAGCTTTTTTAGAATAAATCCCAACCATATCAAAGAGAAGTAGTTTCTGTATATTTTTTCCTCTCCTCCTCATGACATAAGGCAGAGGCATGCCAAAAGAACCAAACCTGTTAAGAGTAATAAGATTTATTAGTTGTAAAAAGAAGGGAGATAAATTCCAGACTGATGGATATGTGTAATACAAGGTTGAGTTACAGAGAAGGAACAAAACGGTCCTTTTTCATGCACATGCCGTATCTACCAATCTGGAGACACTACCAGGAATTAGCAAAGAGAAACAGTACAGAAAACAGGAATGATAAAAGAAAAGCATGAATAATTAGCACTGACTAGAAAAGACTAAATATATATAAAAAAACCACAACCAAAAAAACCCCTGAAACACCCATCTCCATAATGGATCGTTTAACGATGTAATGAAGAGGTGACTTGCTTAGCCATCTTACTCTTCTTTCATACAGGCTTTATTTCTCAGCTACAGGCCTGGTGTAATGGGCCATAAGCATTTTGGGAGATGTCTTCATTTGTTTTCTTTCCTCTAGCTGCTGATTTACAGATTTCCACTTGGAAACACCTGCTCTGGCAGCCTGCAACTTTCCTAGTGAAATTTCACCACAGTGAAAAGGGGCAGAGGTAAGGAGGACAGCACATTTGTTAACATAAAAGGAAAATACCCAGCGTAAGTAAGTAACAGTCAATCAATCTCTGATGTCCCAGAACTGAAATTAGGTATCCCAGATTCAATGTAAAATTTGATTGGTATGTAGCTGGAGTTTGTTCACAAGATGATTTTATCCAAGAAATGTAGGAACAGTTCTTTGATGGACAGCGCATTTATCTTGCTTTACTTCCCATACCAAAGAAGATGACTTTGATGGTACTAGAGAACACTTAACTCTTCATGACAGGTTCGAAGGGAGGTTTGGTGAGCACCTGGTGAATTTGGGTCTAACGGTCCATAGGAATCCATTCAAATATGGAACCAGCAGTAGTGCCAAGCTCTCTCATGCCCTGGAAAATCAGAGCTCCCGAGGCTGCCACCTGTAACATAAGTGGAGAGGTCCAGATCTTTACAAATTCCTGCCAGATAATGGCAAGGCAGGTATTAACTGAAATGGTTGTTGGAATTTACTCAGTATTAAAAATCCAGTGGTTTAACATCTCCCACACTGGATGATAAAACCCGGTATGGAATATTTCTTCCGGATTGAAGAAGTCAGTCCATCAACTTCGGCAAGTACCTGAATTTCTGTAGATTAAACCATCAAGTTTCTAAACCTCCAGCAATAACATTGGGTCCAGAAGCTAACAGAAGCATTCACACAAGGAAGATTGAACTGTTTGCCAATTGATGTTTCCTGCAATACAGAAGGCTGAAAGTCTAGAAAGCATTTCTAAGAAATTTTATTGAGTTATTCTTGAAAGACTTTCCTTATGACTTTGGCCAAATGGATAGAGACATTATAAATAAAAAGCTTTGGTTACTGTGAGCAACACACCCCTCTCCCAAACTACTTTATCATAGCATTGGAACAGTAACATAGTAATTTCTTGAAGTAAGGAGGTCAGTTTGTAAAAAATAAATATACTTACACACACACACCCCCCAAATCAGTGTCTCCTTCACTAGACAGTCTACCAACTGGCATGGTTCTCAAGACATCTCAAAATTTAAGGAAATGTCACTGCAAGCTACTCAACCGGGATTGCATATATTAAATCAGAACAATCAACTTAAGGGATTCTCTACATTGGGACAGCAAGAAAGTTAACAAAGGACATGAGTCAATTCAAAACACTGGTTACTGATGAACTATTACTGAATATGTTGCAACTATGGCAAAACAGAATCTCAATACAAATTAGCTTAACATATCTAAATATGATTAACTGAGAAAGACAATTTTATTCAAGAATAAGTATTGCTAAACCTGGTGTTAAAACAGAAATAGGTAGTATATTTTTAATACATCGCATAAGATATTAAATCTAAATTAATTTCTAGGTATTATGTCATCAGGGCTACTAAACTAAAGTGCATCATACCTCCACATGGATGTTCAAACTCAGGAGTAGCAAAACCTTGGAGGTAGATTAAGGTACAGCAAATTAAAACTACTTTACTTTTGAGGCAAAAGATCTTCACAGAAGTTTCATATACTTTAAAATACGGACACCAGTTTTACCTAATCTGTCCTAATTTTCCTTAGAACTATCACATAGTAAAGCCCTAAAAACAAAGTGAAGGACAGTGAAGCGTGGCAGTCCGCCATTACTAAAGAAAAGGAAATTTCAGCAGACCACAGAAAAGCAGCAAGGTATCATAAAGACAGATTCCCAGTAGTTCCCCCATATGTGTCAAGGCACTTTGCTGATCAAGCCTTAGTATCACCAAGAACTAAACAAAAGAACAAACATCTATTGTAAATGAGGAAGAAAATTCTCTGTGTCTCTTCTTTAAATTAAGAGTTCCCATAATCTTGTCTTCCCTCCTTATAAATCATTAGGTTTAAAACCACAATTCCTGGAATTTTGTTTGAGCAGAAGTCTTGCCAGTGTGATGAAATCAACTAAACAGCATCTCTAAGTTGACAGACGTGTCTGAATGAGACACTGTTTACCAACACAATTAGATCATTTGTATAAGCAAAGTTCACAGAATAAAAATCAGATTACTGCAAGTTTCACAAACTTCCATTTTCCCAGAAATAAGAAGCACTTGCAGCAATCTTTCTGGTTAGGCTCTACTGTCATAGCTACTATGATAGCTGTCCTCTACTGGAAATAAGTTCATGCCAGCAAAAAGAATTATTTGTGTAGTTTAATCGCCTTCCTGAATGTCAGTAATACTGACAAAAGACTTCATCCAGAAGAAATTGCACCTGCACAGAATTTTTCTCTTTTTTCTTAAGTGATTCCTATACTGTTTAGAGAGATGCGATTTCCCTTCTTACGCCAGATGATTATGCCTACACATTTGCAGAGACTTCTCCTTAATAAGAACTTCTGCTAATAAACCAGAAGGCTTATAATATTATGCAATTGTCTTGACTGTTTACAGAAGTCATTTCGCACACTACACTTGCATCACAAGTATATGATATTTTCCTAGATATAAAAACATCACCCATTTAATTTACATGTATTTACAATATCGGTGCATGCCAAGGTCTAATGCAGTTATTGAAGCTGCTGCCAACCCATGAATAGTGTGCCTTTTCCAAGCTATCAGATGATTCTTTAAAAAACAAAAAAGGCCCAACGAACAGTTCTAATAACACTGCCTTACATTTGTGGTAAAACAAAAATGTGGTTTTCACCAGAAGCAATATACAACACAGATTTTCACACACACACACACACACACACATATATATATAAACATACAAGCTTATATTTCATCCTGATGTAGCCTTGAGCGTTACAGAAGCACATATGAAAGTATAGGCCAAGATGACAGGATTACCTTTTAATTAAATTTACTTGACACTTTGAAACCTGATCAGCTGCAAGACTAAACCAGGACAGACACTAAAAGAAAAATGAATGACAACCCTAATATGACAGTGGTTTTCCAAAGTATTTTTCCAGACTATGTTTCCTTAACACTACTTTCCAAAAAACTTTGACCATGTTTCTTTTCATCTGTAACGCTGAGAGGTGTTAAGGCCTTGTCAGAACAGCACCATTTACTTGTTTTCCTTTCTTACTTCTTGTTTTCTGTACAATGTATATAGATTTCTGTACACGTTAGTATTTGCTCCAAAAACGCAATGCGCCTCAGTACATTTTCCCACTTGCAACACTGAGTTTGTAAATATGCTTCCTCTCCGTTTCTACCATTTTATTCTCCTCTCACATCATTCTGCTTGGCAGTGTAATGTCTGTAAGTGAAATAAGCTGACATTCCATCCCTGAAATGGTCCAGTCAGTACAAAAAAAAAAAAAAAAATCTGGTGAATTCAGAAATAAAGATGCAGCTGGACAGCAGCCTATAAATCTGAGGAGAGGGAGAGGTGGAAAAAAAAAAGGAGCACAGGTAAAGGAGAAAATGCTAAGAAAATGAGAAATACAATAAATGAAGATAAAAGACAAAAGAGGCCATCAATATTTATATACTGTAAAACCAAATTAGGAACATACTTCTTCCTTCTCTCTGATATTTAGATCTTTTTTGAAATAGGTTCCCACATATATTCTTTCATATGTGGTTAAAAAACTTTTTTCTTCCATCCTTACCTATAATCCCAAAACTTTGTTAGAGCCACTTATTTATATTTTGAGCTTAAATCAACTACACTTTAGCTGTTACTAATAATAATAGGAATGATTTTGATTTCCAAATGCAGCAGTCAAGACGTCAGCTAAGTTAACTAAAATAAGTCAAAAAGCATATACAAAAAGGAAAGTAATTGAGTTTGAAAATCCCCGTCTGATACAATCTTCACCTGACATCAGCAGTCCATTCAAGTTGAAACCAAGTTATTAGAAACAGATACCTCATATCATCACAAGCTTCTTCCCTTTAAATTGCACATCATTATTTAGTGTTTCCATTGCATAATTTTTAAAACTTGTTTTCATTCTTCTTACCGATATACTCAGCACATTTACCACTGTGAGAAGTACTCCACAGCTGTTACTCAAAATGCCTACCAAACTTGCTATTTTAAACAATTTTAAGGTTACAATTAACTTCCATGAGTTTTGTCCAGAAAGCCATGAGAACACTAGCTCTTAACTACAAAGAAATACAAAGCACTTTTTCGACTGGATATGGAGCTATTTACGGGAAACTATATGAAGTTTGTGAGGATTTTTTTTTGTGTGTGTTTTGTAACAGTCTCAGCTGTCCCAATGAGATCTACTAATGGAAAATGCACTAGATAATCCAAGAGTTTTTAATTATGATACTGCTTAGCCTACATTTCAGTTCCTGATTTACTCTTCCAAAAGAGACGCAAACAGAAAACAATATAATGACAATATCACAAACATGACTTTGTATAAGCATCATATAAATATCTGTATTTCCACTTATTTTCAAATACACAAAATACTCACTCTCCTAATGTCATCTAGTGTATTAACTTCTGGTGAAAGTCCACCATGAACACAAAGAAACTGTTGATTTAGAAGAGCAGCAAGAGGGAGACAATCAAAAGCTTCCATACAAGCATCATAGACTCTTTCTGAGTACTTTATTTTACCTGCAGGAAAGAAAATATAAAACATTTAAAAATCCATATAAAGTGGAAGAAGTAATCTAGTGGATCATAATTACAAGAGCAAATCTCAAAGTGAATGCTTAAAAAAAACCCAAAGCAATGAATATTTTTGGGTTTAAATGAGCATTTCCAAACACCACAACAGCAAGCACATTTTCTAAGACATATTCTTTTCCAGAACTGTAAATTTTTTTCATTATTTCTTCTGTTATCTCAAGTGTTGAGAAACTATTCTTGTTTTTAAAAAAAATCACAGGATTATTTTGCATTATACAATTATACAGCACACTTCAGTGTAAAATACTGCTGAGAAGTTTTTCATCATTTACATCACTTTTACCTACATCACAGGGTTTTAACAGGGCAAATGAGCCATTTATCACTGGATCAATACTTACACAAGCCACTAAATGGAGGAGCAGCTTACATCAACAAAAGAGTTCTCTTACTAGTACAGTCGAAATCAAACCCCCAAATGGAAAAATTATTCGTCTGTAGGGTTTTCTTGCTAGCTTCACAATGCTGCTCAGCAAGTCACTTTGCACTCCCAGTTATAGCCAAGACAGCAAAATAACCTTCTTCTCTCCAGAATTTTAAAATCAGGATTGATACATCAAAATTTACTCCATAATGTATCTTTACAGACGTGCATTCCAACACCACACTTAACTGCAAGCAATTCTACAGAAGTAAAGCGGGGGGTCTCCAAATGTTTGCAAGACCTTAATTAAACTAACAGACAAACATCTCTCAAGCAAAATGACAGACTGTAGATCGGCAAGTTGGAAGTAAGCTGATTTTACATTCTTAGACAGTACTTACATTCTTGCTTAAAGGTAAAATACTCTGTTAGGTGTCTGCATTCATGGTTGCCTCTCAAAAGAAATAACGTGCTTGGGTAGAGAATTTTCAGGACCCATAGGTACAGCACACACTGTTGAAAAACAAAAATATCCAGTAAAATACACTAGTTTATAATTTTTAAAGTTCTTACTACTGAGAAACATTGATTAAGAATGTTAACAGCTTCAAAAGCAAGTACAGCTTAATGTGCCCTTTTAAAATACAGCACTACTTCCCCAAGTCCAGTTCTGGAAACGAGTTATGGAAATTGCGAGTTATGGAAATTGCTTATTACTTTTCTTAAGAACAGCCACACACAATGCTGGAAAAATATTAATATTTACTAGACACTCAATAATAAACTAAATTCAGCAGAATTATACTGCAGAACACTTTCATCTAGACAAATAACATATGTGTGCCTAAAATCTGGTATTATAATATGATTCTATACACCAGCATAAGAAGGAAAGCAGACATTTATTAATACAGATTGAAGAACAAAACCCGACAAAACTATTTACATTAAAGTCAGCTATATCATTCGGAGACTGTTTTTAAACTAAGAATGGACAGAGTAAACTTTTTTCCCCAAAAACTGGGAAAGCTAGTTGTTTATTCAGTGTTCAAGCAGCAAATTCAAAGAATCATAGCACATTTCCATATATCATTATTATTGCAACATCAGCAGCAGAGTTGAGGACAGAGCTACAGAACATGCACATTTTTTTCAGTTTAGAGTCTGTTACTACCCAGCAGTCTTGAATGCCCAGAATGTAATACTTAAATTTCAAATCTCTTTCTTATGTTTTTAACTGAGCACAGAAATCTCAAAACCCTAGAAGTTTTGGACTACACTGAAGTCACCTGCAAGTCATTATTATTATTGTTCTTAATCAATACAAGTACCCTGAACCTATCGTTCTTCAAAGTTATTTTGCAGAGAATAGTTAAGTACATGAAGAAAGAAAGAAAACAAAAAGGAACACGTTAGAAAATACAGCAAACATGGAGAAATACATCAGACTTCTATTGTGAAGTTTAGCTAAACTAATTACTGAATTTTTCTTATTTTCTTAGTAAAAATAGGCAAAATAGTAATTCTTCTAATGATACCACTTGTTCTCCAATGTTTCTATAACTCTAAAATATCCTGATATGTTGCAAAGTTCCCAGACTCCTTAAAACTGTTTCCCAGCAGAGAGCATTATTAGTTTCTTACAAAACAACTGCTTATCATCAAATGCATACATGAATTAATTTGGCAAATTCTACAACTGTGAACTGTTTCAGTAAAGTCAGTTCGTATGAAAAATTTATAAAAGCTGGCAACCTTGAAAACATTTAATAGAAAAGTGGCAAAATAGTGCCTTCCTTTCACTTAATGGATACTACATTTGATTAAATTGTTGAGATTTACATGTTCTCAACCATGTTACCTATTAAGTAAAAAAAAAAAAAAATTTTTTTTAACCTTTCCTCTACTGGCATATTTATTTTTTATTATTAGACAGACTAACGTCAGAGTTCTCTATGTCCTGTTATTTCCAATACAGGAAAGAAGAATTTGCACACACTTATGTGAAGGACGCCATCTTGATCACAGCAGTTTGTTATATACAAACATAGTAGCATGTAATTACCTTTCCTATTAGAAAAGATGACATGTTTTAATTGGAAATGGGTTACTACTAAAATATCAACACAATTAAAAATGTTTCAGGACAGACTGATTAAGAATTTACTAGCGCAAAGTCAGATTTCACTGCTCATATATTTTTTGAAAATTTCACCTTCACTTTTCTGCATAAAGTCAAATATTTTACCAAAAGTACATCACATTTCCGATCACTAAGAAAGATTTTAAAGTAACCATATATGAAAATTCCTGGAGGTCAACTTAAACTTCCTAAATGTTAAGGCAAAAGCTTAAGTAGGAAAAATTTTTCTAAGGTTAAAGTGGAGAACAAATGGCTGATTTTCATGTAAAACTTTTTTCTTTCCCAACAGGACCACAAAGCATAGCCCCACCTTCATGCACTTGCAGCAATTCGACTTCATTCAGATAATCTGTCACGTACTTCACTGATGTTCCAACAGCCACTTAGAGCAGAAGAGAGCAGATTATCTCAACGAAGACAGACAAGCATTTTAAGAATCCCTGAAGTGGTTTTCAAGAGTATATTTAGCATATCTTTACATACTCCACAAGTATATTTAGCATGCCAAATATTATATTAAAAATTAAATTTAAATCATGTGAGGGAAAAATTAGCCTGTTTTTATTAATATATTCAAGAACAGCCAATGTTCAAAAGATTTTTATAAGGGTAATGGTTGAGAAGCTTTCATACCATGTTTTGATATATTAACATACGTTGTTGCCTATGTAAATCACAGAACCACTAAGGTTGGAAAGGACCTTCAAGATCATCAAGTCCAACCATTAATCCAGCGCCACCGTGTCCCCTAAACCATGTCCTGAAGCGCCACATCCACACGTTTCTTGAACACTTCCAGAGATGGCGACTCCACCACCTCCCTGGGCAGCCTGTTCCAATGCCTGACCACTCTCTCAGAGAAGAAATTTTTCCTAATATCCAATCTAAACCTCCCCTGGTGCAACTTGAAGCCATTTCCTCTTGTCCTATCACTGGTTAGTTGGGAGACGAGGCCAACATCCACCTTGCTACAACACCCTTTCAGGTAGTT